GAATGTTGGAAAAGGGCACAGCAATAGGCCCGAAACAATTCCTTGGTTTTTTAATAAATATAATCTTGTGAGATGCAAAAAATACTGCTAGAGTAGAGAAGCAGTATTGTTCTAATGTAGAAAACCCAGGGACATACAGCAGTGCACTAACCATAGGCGAATAGTCACTAAATTATACAAGAGTCCCATCTCGATTTTATTTTTAAATATTTTTGAGAATACCTATTATTATTTGTTACATTGAGTTTAATAAAACCACAGATTTCGAATGTATTGAAAGTTTTTTAAAAAGTACCTCTATAAATATATAGAAAATGTGTTTATGACTAACTGGTTTTATTAATCTTTTTTTGGGGTAGGTAAATATATTTTGAAAAATTTACAATCTTCTTTTGAATAAAATACAAAATATTTCTGTTTTTATTAACTGAACAATATTTTATACAAACATAATATATAACTATTTAAAAGAAAATATTACATTTTACAAGTATCGCATATTTATATGAAATAACTTACTCAATAAGAAAGAATTAAATGAAACAAATTAATAAACAATGGATATGAAAAATTGCTTTAACAATCCTTAGATAAACTTATTCTTACATATTGCTTTAATAAATTTATTTACTATAAAAGTATATTTCCTAACATTTATTACATGTAATAAAATAAAGCATAAAACATACAAACTATAATATGTACCTACTTAGAACGGAACTAATATTATTGTATCAAGGTAGTAATAGTGGACATTTTCCGAATAAAAAAAAGTAAAAAAGAAGTAACGGTCGACATGTTTTTCTGACTATTGGTCTTCATCAGTACGGTGCAGCCAAGTTCAAAGGATCATGGAACGTGTGTTGGAAAAATTGTACAATAGGTCACTAACAAGGAGCCAATAACACATTTGCCGTTTCAGCTAGTATCCCCAAATTTTCTGGGCTTATACTAAAGTCACAAAATGATTCAATGGTCTTCCTATGACTATCAGTTATTCTTTCCTAAATTTTTTTGGTATGCTACAACAAAACACAAATTATTTGATTTTGATAATATACAAATATTTTTGAAAACTTACACATGAAATGTTATTCCTTCCTTGTATCTTCTACCGTTGGATGCATTGTTACATACACGTACAAAACAACAAGAGATTTTGAAAATCCTGTAAAAATTTAACACCAAACCACAAATGTTTTTTATTAAAATAAAACACTAAACGACTAAACTAAAAAATAATGTTTTAAATAAAACCTTTACTAGAAGAACAAAACCCAGCTAGCACATAACGTTGCCAAGCCTTTCGGCGATGTTGCATTAAGGGAACGTAATAACATTACTGTACAACGTAAATGCAACGTTCATGAGAAGTTGTTGAGGGAAATCAAAACCTCGCAAAACTTCTATTTGTTATTTACCTAGTTAACCTACCGTAAACATTACAAATCTGAATTCAGAACGTTTAGTTTTATGTCAATTGTCACTTGTCAGTTTTTCTTGTCAATTGTCTTTTTTAATGGTTTATTTTTCGACATCCAGAATTTATTTTATAAATAATTATTATTTATACATTCGAATAGATTTGGTAAGGGTCCTCTATAAAATAGATAACTATTTTCTAAACCATTGTCTTTGTTTCAGATTACAATGCCTGATGTAAATTTATTATTTCATTCATTAAGTATCTTTAGCAGTCGATGCCGATGACACCAAATAAAAAAAAACTACAATAAAAACAAAAAATTGCAGATCAATCGTTGTAAACCAGAAGATAAACATTTAATCGAATGTCCGGCAACATTTTACACCAAATACTTATAAAAGGTAATTATACTTTATTGAACTAAAAATACATTTTAAAAATATTATTTTTTAGGTTTCCTTCGACATTCTAGGAATTTTAGAAGCAAAAGTAAATACTACAGAAGTGTAAAGAAGAATATAACTCCTGAAGTTTTATAAAAAGTGGTACATGATATGTCAGGTATATCAGAATTCAAGCAGTTCATTATCTTCAACAAGCTAGATTGCCTGGAAATGCAACCATCAGTCAAGTGAAAACCCAGCAGAAAAGTTGAGAGAAATAATAGAATATCTTGCTAAAAAACACCAGTTGTTTTTTATAAAATCTACATATTGATGGCTCAATCAAATACTGCCACAACTAAAATACTATTATTTCGAGAAATTTCATTTTGAAATTTTGTTGTCTCTATTATCATTATTTTGTTTTTGACATACTCTTTATATTTTATTTAAAAGCTTCGATATTTTGCTGTTAAATAAAATGAATACGATTATAAAAGTGAGTTGTTGCATAGTTGTAAAAAATTTGGGTGTTTTTGAAGAAAATAACTCGAATTGATGCAGTTTTAGACACAGTTTGTGGCTACATTTTAAATGATTTATCTTTAAGGATATTTTTGTTTGTGGTGGTATTTAAAGTAAAACCGTAATGATATTTTGCATCCATTGAACCAAAAATGTAATTGCTTTGTTTTTTGACTTGTGGCGGTTTTTGATTGAGCCATCGATATATCTACTTTGGAAATCAAGCATAAAATTTGTAAAATTCAAACAAATTTCAATACACTAACATTGGTTGTTTTATTTAAAACAACAAAGTAAGGCATATTTTTTAATTTCTATATAATTTCCTTTAATTATAATAGGTAAACAAGTTATCAATTTCTTTTTTATTCAATTTATTGAGAAGTAAAATCTTTTTATATAAAAATATAATTTATGCTCTTCTAATAAATTGTCATATTTAGGTTACATTATAGCACTTTATAAATATCTATGCAAAAAAAGTTAAAAGGCTTGATTTAAAAAAGATATATCTCTGCGTCTTAGGTAAGAAATCAGCGAACTTAGCTATCCTCTAGTAATCTAATATAATAATATGTACCTAGTCATTGTTGTATTCGTTTATTATTTTTCACCAATCTAGCTTTATCATCGTTCACCATTTAAGGTTTTAGTGAACCTTTGCAATATTGGTACCTTATTATACTATTTAGCTAATTTTGTCCAATCATTCAGTGCTTTCTAGGTAGCTTCTTCTATCCCACATGTGTACTTGTGTTTGTGATATAAGGTGTGTTCTTTTATTCAATAATTGTTCCATCAGTGATTGATGTAATTTATCTATTCTGCAGTCATTTTATATTTGAACTCTTATATTTTAGGTTAACTTAAATGATTGATTATCCTCACCATTCGTCTATCACATATCCATCGGCTTTTAAAGCCGATGGATGCCTTGGCTCATTGGTGAATTCACCGCTGGAAAAAAGAATGATTGACACATACAATCGTCTTTCCATCACTTAATTTACGAACGGTTTGCTGCAAGCGCTGGATACAGCACTGAATAAAAGAACACACCTACACCTACCTCTACTTTTGTGCTATTGGTACTTGATTTCAAGAACATTTTAATAATACATTTATATAAATATTTTGTTTTATTTGAAATTTTCATGTCTCGATTGAGATTTTACTATAGCCTCAATTTCAGCCTCTCTGTATTACATTACACAATGTGTGTCCACGGATGGACTTAATTATACTTGTAAAAATATTTATTTTAAATTAAAGAAAAAGTTGTTTTTCATAATTTCTCAATGTGAATCGAATTTATTTAACAAGCAAGAAATTATGAAGAATTACTTTTTTAATTTAAAATAAATATTTTCACAAGTATAGTTAAGCCCATCCGTGGACACACTGTATAATGCTGTAGATCTAATTCACATTATAACATCAATAGAACGTTTCAGAGCAACTTTCGGGGTAAGTACCGTAAAAGTGCTAGTGTGATGTTTTTCGAACTTCACTTTGTAACTTCTGTGAGATGTGCTATAAAAGTCTTGCCGCTGCGGACATTCGGTAGTTGCAGGGATATAAGGGTTACATTTACAGTACATTGCATGCGAGCTTAAAGAGCCTAAAATTGCAGCTTATTAACGTAGATGGGATGTTTTTGTGCTAGCTGGGAATAAACAACACAACAGATAATAAAATCGATTATATACGTCGAACGCCGATCTTACGCTTAGAACAGAAGTAAAAGTTGGAAATGCTTTTGCCAGTTCTCCCACTTTATACACATAAATTGACAGGTTGTCAGCGGATCTCACCGAAGTGGACGCGATACATTGGCGTACAAAATTATTTTATAGATGTTAATAACAATTTCGAATAAATAGTTTAATAAATTGTGAATAGCTGTTGAAATTTTGTAAAATTATAATTTGAATATTATAATACATGTTCAATAATTATTTATAATCCATAAATACATGCGATTGTGCGGTTCCGCCGATAACAATTTAAAATTACTTATTCTATGAAACGACACTGGCGGGTAAACATTACTGTGAAATTCTCGGAGCCGCCCGACGTGGTTTGACGTTTACCCCCTCTCTACCTACCAAAAGACTTTTCAACTTTTACTTTCTCTATATTACTAAACTTGTGCCGATTCTGTCTTGTCAGAAGTGCCAACTTAAAATTTATTGACATTTATTTATCATGGCGCCCATCATATGGGGGGTCAAAATGTTTTTACGATGCGGTATCTAGACCTTCTGAGGGCTATGGGTGTAACAAAAAAGCTACAAAAAAGTTACAAAAAATGAGCCTGGTCCGAGCTGGTGCCGCTACAAATATCCGCTAAGATAGCGGATCCGCGCTTTTCTCAGGTTCAGTACAAGCTACAAAAGGGAGACTAGCGTAACAAAAAAGCTACAAAAAAGTTACGAAAAACCAGCTAGGTCTGAATCTGTGCCGCTACTATGGAATAATTATCCTTCCTCCATGCTATGGAATTTATGGAAATTCAAGCTAGCGGATCCGCTGTTTTTTCGGACCTGGGCAAAGCTACAAATTCGCAAATAGCGTAACAAAAAAGCTACAAAAAACCCGTCAGGTCTTGAATGGTGCCGCCACAGAGTGCCCGCTAGCTTGATAGAGCCTTCGCTGTTCGTCGTTTGATTTTCAAATCGTTGATCAATCTATACAATTCTATAGCATTGGGAATGGAAAATACAAAAATCATTTGTTTTGACTTTGACATTGACGTTTTTAATTTTTATCAAAAATTGAAATCGTTTAACATTTGTGGTATTTCTATAAAAAATGGCAGATGTTTTATCAGAAATAGTACTACCAGAAGATTTAAAGGTCTGTACAACATTTTTACACTATTCAAATGTTTTTATCATTATCATTTATACCAGACAACCCCTTTTTTGGTTTTTCTTTTAGAATAATCATGATAAGTTATATGACTCATTACATTATTCACTGAAATCACCTTAGTATCTTTGTAGAAGTTTGAGAAAATCTACCATGAACAGCTATATAAAAATGATGTAACCCCTAAAGCTCAGTTTGAGTATGCTTGGTGTTTAGTTAGAAGTAAATATCCAGCTGATATTCAAAAGGGTATAATGCTTCTAGAAGAGTTATACAAAACCCATGAGGAAGGACAAAGGGATTACTTGTACTACCTAGCTATCGGTAGTGCTAGGTTAAAGGAATATTCTAAAGCCCTAAATTATGTTAGATCTTTTTTGTCGATAGAACCAGGTAAGTTTATGGTATATCAAGTATTTTGAAAATATTTGCAAATCTGGGTAATCTTGTAGTTGCTGGGTCTAGAAATGTGCATATTCACACCACTCGATTTGAAATTTGATACAAATTTGAATTTTGTAATATCACTATTGAAAGGTAGTATTGACATTAAAAATAATGAATCGTATTACTTGAAAATCTTAAGAACATTTTTTATTTTTATGGGATTTTTAATTGATATTGGTAAATAGATGATTAAAAGTAAAATAGTTATTTCAATATGCTTATTCCCTGGTTCCAAATAATTAAATATAACCTGGTAACTATATGTAACTATTCCTACTGTCAGAACTAGCCGGAACAGGAATGTAGGCACATTTACATTTCCAGACCTTTCAACTACAAGATTACCAAAATAAATCTGTTTGGAATAATATCAAAATCCAGTGACAAATTTGTCTAGTGAAATGTATATCAACATGATAAGAAACACAATATTATGAAGTCTCATTTACATTAAGAACAATTTATATTTGAATCAAATATGATTGACATTCATCATTTAAAATTATAATAGAAGAAAACATTATTTAATCTAACCTGGTTGTTGATTATTTAAGACTCGGATCATAGCTACCTATATTATTTTTGATATTCTCCTGGGGATATTTGCAGAATCTTTCAATAAGTAAATGTTATCCAAAACTAAAAAACAAAAAATACAGATATGAGTTTACCTATATATAACGAAAGACTATATTTTAAAGATAAAACATTGTAAATGTGATGCCAAGAAGGCAGCAGAACACCTAAGGAATTTTGAGTTGAAGCCTATGCCATATTTTTAACCTATTTTAAAACTATTTTTATACCTATTCAAAATTGTTTTAAGGTTTTTTCTAAAAATAAAACCCCATTTTTAGGCTTAATTGTAGGCTATTGAAACAAAACATTCTGAAAAAATGGTTAATTTTTTAAAATTTGGGGTGCTTTGCTAGCATAGTTTTTTCTGACTGAGGCATATGTCATTTTCAACATGTGATCATTTTAACCAATTTGAACGAAACTTGTAGCAATATGGTTGTAAGTTGATGTAAGACAGTGATGAGTGTTTTTGTATCACATGCCGAAATAGTCATGTGTTGAGGGTACGACCAATATGATTTTTTGTGGCCAATACCAATATATGAATGGCTGATACCAATATATGAGGCCGATACGGATATATTGACCATACATTTTTATTATGAATATTTCACTATAAAACTTAGAAAAAATTATCTAATTATGCCCCTTTAGCAAAATTTGCTAAGAAATCAAATCAGGAAAACCAAGTGGTCCAGGACAATGTCCCTGACTCGATTTCTCAATGTTTGTTTTGGAATACCTTTGAAGAACTTACCGATATAACAGCAAGTAAATCATTACCATATACTAATATGATAAATAATATTGAAGGTTACCTTAAAATTTACATTAAATTAGAGAAAATATCGAAAATGGAGATCCTTTGATTTGGTGGGCACAAAAATAAGACATTTTTGTACTATAATAAATATAAATGTGCAATAATATACTTAACAACCCCACCAAGTAGTGTGGCTAGTGGACAGCTATTCTCTTCAGCCGGTATTGTCTAGGATGATTAATTAAGGGTGGAGACCAGTTGTATCTCAGAATATCTTGAAGTAATTGCAAAAACAGGTCAATTTTTATTTTAAGGAAGACACCTTTCTATAATATCCTCAAGTGTCATATGCCATTCCTCTCCCCACCATCTATTTAATCAATACAGTTTAAATAGGGAAAGTACCAAGTATGAAACATTACCGAAAATGTAACTTTATGGAAAATTCAGCAATATGACTGTGCATTACGTTACTTTTCATTTTAAAGCCTTCTAGTGGGATGAAAACTATTACTTGATTTGAAAGCTAATTTAATTAGTAATTCAATGCAACAAATAGCATTAACCTAAATATCTCCATATTGCACATGCAACAAAATAAAGTTAGTAATAATGCAATATTTTTTTTTTTAATTTTAGTTAATTTTTAATTTAGTTAACATAATATTATGTAGTGCATTGGATTACTAATAAAATTAGCTTTTAAATGAAGTATCACACTTTACAATACGTAACAGTTTTTTATCCTGCGGGTGGGCATTAAAATGAAAAGTAATGTAATGATGATAATCATACCATTGCACAAAGGGGGAGACCATAATAATCCAGCAAATTACCGTCCCATATCTTTACTACCAACCTTAGCGAAAGTAATAGAAAAATTGGTGAAGAATGTTGGATTTTTTAAATAAGCACTCGTTACTTTCCCATTCTCAGTTTGGCTTTCAATCAGCAAAAAACACTACAGATGCTATGTTCTCTCTCCTGCAAAAACTATATCTTGAAATTAATGACGATCGGGTGGCTGCAGCAGTGTTTTGTGATTTAACCAAGGCTTTTGATTGTGTGAATCACAAAATACTGCTAGACAAGCTTGAAAAATATGGTTTTCGAGGAATTGCTTTAAAATGGTTTCAATCCTACTTAAATAATAGAATTCAAAAGGTAACTTTAAATGATTAATCCTCAATGTCAGAACATATTTACTGCGGAGTTCCGCAGGGATCAGTACTGGGACCAGTACTTTTCCTTATATACTTTAATGACATTGTCACTATTAACATTCAGGGACAATTTGCAATTATTGCTGATGATTCGACAGTGCTTTGGCTCAGCAACAATAATGAAACCTTGCATCGTATCATAAGCAGGGACATTGAATTAATTAAACAATGGTGTGACGCTAATTATCTAACATTTAATATTTCAAAAACCAATATTGTTTGTTTTAAATGTGAAATGGAAAATATTTCAATGGGAGCCGAAATTATTAACGTTACAAATGAAAATAAATTTTTAGGATTAACTATTGATTATAGACTAAAATTTGAAAGTCACATAAATTTATTATGTAAAAAGTTAGTGTCGGGTTGTTTTGCAGTACGATCAGTGACCTACAGTTTAAGTTTGCAGGCTGCAAGAAACGTATATTTTGCGCTGATAGAATCCCATTTGAGGTATGGCATTTGTTTCTGGGGTGCATGTTCTGACGAGCTATTTAATAGAGTCTTTATTATGCAAAAGCGGGCCCTGAGGTACATGTGTAAACTTAATAATTATGCTTCTTGTAAACCCTTATTTTATAAATATAAAATTTTAACAGTAGCCATTTTTTTTTTAGGAAATCAACAAGTTGTGAGTCTAGAGCAAACCATTAAGAAAAAAATGGAAAAAGAAGGGCTTGTAGGTATGGCTGTTACCGGAGGCATAGTTTTAGCCGTAGGCGCTATCGTAGGATTCGGTATGGCTATCGCTAGCAAGGCAAAGTCATAGTTCTTCCATTAATTTTAATTCTTCTTTATTTAGTGATTGGTACCAAATGTATTTAAAAAATTTTTGTATTTTTTTTTTGTGTATATATACAATGTTCTTCAAAATTGTGTCATTCCGTAGAATAATATTCTTTTAGAAACAGGTTAAAACACTGCATTTTTTTAAATGTTTTATTTTTCAATACTCTACACAATTTTGAATAATTTTGAATTTTATTTCGATATATCTATTAGCATAAAAAGTGATTTGCCTAATACAAGTCAGATGTGCAATTTCTTCAAATTTATCTTAGCATGACCTGCAACGCCACAACGATACAGCTCGAGAAAAAAATTATTGAAATTTTGTGCAATTTCTACATTCTAAATTATTTACTTAGTTATCTTAAAATATTATCATAACTTTTTGTGTGTGCATTATGTAGATTCCGTGGCTAAAGTAAATTTGGCTTAGTTGTACTTTGTTTTTCTTTTCTCTCTTTAATTACTACTAGAACGACTATTTGTAAAAATTTTCGATGTCTCTTATCCATATCACTGATAAAAGATTCCTTACCAAATTGTTTTTTGTTTTTCTATGTATATATATTGTTTCAATTAGAATAATAATTTATAAGTAAATAAATGTTTAAGAACTGAGGAACTTTAACTTTGTTACTGAATCCCTGTGCCACAGACCTTTGTACATAATATATCGCAACTATTTATTGCAAATTATGCACCTTCAGTCCCATCTGTAGAGATGGCTCTTGAATATTACCGTCTTTCGCTTGGGTAAGACAGCCTCTCACGAGGGTGTTGGTCATTCCCTTTTTTGTTACTAGCGTCTATGTATTCGTTCGGCTATCCATAAGTGCAATTGGATATTTCAAAAGACTCCTCGGAATCTAGTTCAAGTTTAATGCCACAAAAAAAATAGTTATAAAATGTACAGAGAAAATCGACAAAACAGAATCTTCTGACGCACTTTTAGCGTAAAAAAATCGGGCCATGATACGGGAGAACCAAACTAATATAGAAACAACAGTGATGACTAGGAACAATTTGAGAAAAGATATACTCTCAAAGAAGGAATCGGCGATACAGGGGCTGACTAAACAATTGTAGGAAATACAATTATGAATACAACAAATGGAAATGATGTTAGGAATGCAAAAGTAACAGCATATCTAAACAGACTGCGAAGAGGAAATAGTCAATAAAAAAACAGCTTGCATAGAACAAGAAAAGGAAAATAGCAAAAAAATGTGAAAATCCTGTAGTATCGCCTCAAAACGACCAAACAATAATACAACGTACAAAAAGCAAACTTAAAAAACCCAAATGAACAAGATTATAGAACAGTAACCAAATAACTCTCAATTCGAGTCTATGAATGGCAGTCATATGAGATGAAACAAACCAAACCAATAAAAGTGATGGCTAGAAACAAACCTACATCCCACCTGCAAGTTAGAAGATATAGCTGAAGAATTAAAGTTGTGGATAAAATCTTAGATGTGGTTAATATTCAACGGAGAGAAACTAAAGAATAAAGAGGATATGGTCATAAGCATGTTGTTATAAAAAAGCCATTGCCGTTATTCATGTTAACATTTGAAAACGGCGAAGACATTAAAATAATTTACGAAATTAAGACATTCTGTATCTGTAAAGTGTGGAGGGTGGGTTACCCCACGGCACTTAGGCCCCATTAGGCCCATTGTGCATCCTTCTGAGATGATAGGCACCTCCTAGCTCGTGAGCCAGCCTACAGGTTTAATGTAGTTGACAACGTCGCCAAGAGGTGCTTCTCTTATATCGGCCGGTGTTAGCCGATACTCGCCGAACACAAATCTTCTAATAAATGAGAGTGTCGACCAATCGTAATGGATATGATAGATGATCTCATCTTCTTGTTCGCACCCTCTGCAGAGTGCGGATTCTGACAGCCTCATGATATGGAGATGCTTTATCGTACTTGGCAATGACCAGTCAGAATGCCTGTGACTAGGCCCAGATTTTGTCTAGTCATAATCAAGTATTTGTTTGCTGCCGTATTGTCAGGATAACTTAAGAGTTCCCTGGCAACTCTGCAGTTTCTTGTTTCATCCCATCTTTCCCTGAATTTCACAAGGGAATGTTCTTTGATTATGTCTGTCACTACCGATTTTGTCAGGCCAATAGAAGGGTCAGGTCCAAAAAGTATTTGGTTGGCTGCTTTCTTGGCTAGTGAATCAGCAAGACGGTTACCTTTCGATGTGGCGTGACCTTTAATCCATCTTAAGGTGACCACATTGTTGATGGATACTTCGGCCAAAGCTTCGTGACACTCTAGTACTAACCCTGAATAAATTCGTAGTCTGTTCAGGGTGAGTAGTGCTTATCTGCTATGTGTATAGATGAGCATGTTCCTTCCAGTGATATTCTTTCTGGGTATTTCTTTTGTTGCTATGAGAAGCCCCGTTATAGCTCTGTTTGAACTACACTGGCACTATTGCTCACAGCCCATTAATTTTATGTTTAGGTTTAAGGAGGTCCTTTCGCCACCAATGTTAAATAAAAAATATTAGAATATGACTAAAATTAATTTTTTTCTAATAGTAGATGCCCTTATTTATCTAATAGTGAACTTTAAACTATACCTTACCGTGCAAATTTTTGGGAATTTTTTTTAAAATGTGTGTATACAGTGTCATATGAGAAAGTAAGACTTCAACAACAATTTTCGAATTATAATTAATTTTACTATTATTTATTGATTAGATGGAGTAGAAAAAAACTAAAAAAAAGGTTTTTGAAATATTTAGGTTTTGTTTTTTACAATAAAATATATAGGTTACCGTGGAACTTATTGAGAAATTATTATTAAAAAGTCACAAAAAATTATCAACTAGGTTACTTGAAAATTTTTCGTGATTTTTTAATATTAATTTCTCAATAAGTTCCACGGTTTACTATATATATTTTATTGTATAAAACAAAATCTAAATATTTCAAAAACCTTATTTTTAGTTTTTTTCTACTCCATCTAATCAATAAATAATAGTATAACTCGAGAATTGTTGTTGAGGACTTACTTTCTCGTGAGGCACTGTACAAATACTCACATTAAAAAAAAATTCTTAAAAATTTGCAAGGTAAGGTATAGTTAAAAGTTCAGTATTAGATAAATAAGGACTTCAACTATTAGAAAAAAATTAATTTTAGTCATAATCTAATAACTTTTTTTTTAACATTTGAGGCGAGAGGTGTGGCGAAAGGACCTCCTTAAGAATCTGGAGTATATTCCACATCTTGAGCCTTGTTTTGTTTTTGAACCGTCGGTGTAGATATGAATCGTACCTGTCACTTCCGGCTCTTCTATTTGTTCTATTATAACTTTATATGGCTTATGAAAGATATAGTTCGGTGAGATGGAGTCCATGTTCGCTTGAAGCAGTGGGAGAGTATCGAGTGCCTCCTGCCAAAAGTGACGTCTCGCCTCACCAGATCCTACATCTGGTTCTACTTCGACCGTGCGGAGGTGTGTCATCGTCAGAGCAACCTCCTTGTAAATATCAAGGGGAGTGAGACTAAGAATGACTTCCATGGCTCTAGTCGGTGTTGTTTTCATGGCTCCTGTTATGTTGAGACATGCTGTTCTTTGAATTTGTTCTAGTTTACGGATAGCTGTTAATTTTTTGGTTTTCGGTAGGCAGACAACTGCATCGTATGTTAGCATAGGTCTTATGATAGCCGTGTAAGTCCATGCGACGACTCTGGGGGAGAAGCCCGAGGTGCGCCCCACGGTTCGGCGGCATTGTTCATAAGCAATGTATGCTCTTAACTCTGTTTTCTAAATGCGAGTTCCATGTTACCCAGATAGCACAAAGTCGTCTTTAAGACGTCTAGCATAAGACATTAGAGACGTCTAGGATTTCCTGAAAGACGTCTGATGTTACAAAAGGGGACGTCTTTAAGACGTCCTAATAATGGCTTATATTGGTCTGTGAAGCTTAAAATAAGCCAGAAATAAGACGTCTTTAAGACGACTTATTAATAGCTTATAATGGTCTTGTGAAACTTTAAATAAGACGTCTTTAAGATGACTTATTAATAGCTTATAATGGTCTTGTGAAGCTATAAATAAGCCATAAATCAGCTTATAATGGTCTTGTGAAGCTATAAATAAGCCATAAATCAGCTTAAAATGGTCTTGTGAAGCCTTAAATAAGACGTCTTATTAATGTCTTGTGAAACTTTAAATAAGACGTCTTTAAGATGACTTATTAATAGCTTATAATGGTTTTGTGAAGCTATAAATAAGCCATAAATAAGACGTCTTTAAAATGTCTTATGAACGGAGGACATCGGATATCTTGGTCATTAAAATATTAGTAGAACAACCTTGCAGGGTATCTATTCTTGAATCTTAGGGAGTAGAAATTTTGAGGGAAGAATGAGACAAAAATACAAATTTTGCGCGTTGCAGATAAAGAGACAAAACCGGTTTTCTATTCCCTCGAATTCAAGAATAGCTACCCAGGTTATAAAGAATGCAAAAAATAGAATTAAAAATATTTAATGATAAAATATCTATTAATCACAAGTCACTAAGAGTTATTTTATTTGTAGCGCCTTCGACCACTCCTCTTTAGCCATAACTGGATTGATTTTTCTCTTTCTCTTTAATTTGTAATTGCCTTTTTATAGCTCCTAAAAAGAAATTTAGTAAAGAGCATGTAGTCACAGAAAATTATACTTTGCAAAAGTTAGTAAAAACCGAAATAACAGTTATCTATAAAACAAAACAAATAAATAATTTCTTAGAATTTTAAATCAAAGAATTTTTATAATCATTTAATGCAATATGAGCTATTATGCTTAATCGCCTACTTTGAAAATTTTACTTAAACTTCACTCAAAATGGCTATCTAATATCTGAATTAAATCTTATATTAAGATGTGTACTTTTAAATTCATTTCATTATTCTTACTTAGAAGAAACAGGATATTAATGTTCTATGTATATAAACAAATATTCATTTATTACCTGTATTTCAGGAACGTGCTACATCGGTAACAGAAACTATTCTTCCCTCTCTGGTTTTTGTCCCATATTATTTAAGTAGAAAGAGACACTAATGCTCAGAATAACCCAAAGACGCTTTTGGTGGCTATAATCGCGTACCTACCCAATAAAATAATCAATATTCCACAATAAGCTTGGGCCATACAAATTTTTGAATTGGGCTTGAATGTACTTCTTATTTTCTTCATTTTAATATTCTTCTCCAAATATTACACTGAATATTTTGTTTAATTTTGTATACTTTTTAAAGTCGGATGGTCACTTTTATACTAGAT